CCTGATATGCGACATCATCTTTGCAGAATTTAGCAAGAAAGTATTTAAACAAAATCTCTAAGCGGCTTTAAGTCTGACTGCAGGCAAATTTTATTTTAGGTAACAATACAAATCTAGATGTGAGGCATACAGTAAGGGAATAAAGAGTGACTTACTTCAGGTGAGGAATAAATATAGTTTCTTGTCTGGGTGATTATTTAGAGAGACTAAGTAGCTTGTTCTTGAGATAGTTATGCCTTGACTGATTTTATACGGTTTTCTCTGTTTCGGTAAGATCCTGAGAAACCCACACAGCTTTTCTGGGCTCTTCTGCCAACCTGTCTAACTTCTGTATGGTACCTCTCAACCTCTATCAGCTTCTAGATTTGGCAGACAATCTAAACCAGAAGTGAAACTACTGTAGCCATCATGGTTGAAGAAGAGAGGCGAGACATGGTTTGTAGGCCTGATTAGTTAGTCTGCAGTCTATGTGTACTTAAAACTCTTTCTGGCATACAGCAGATGCCGTATGGCTACTCCGGAGTCTCACGAACATCAGCTCAGGAGAAAGGATCTTGTGTGGAAGTGGGAAAACCAAGAGGAAGAAAGGCACTGGATACTAGTGACACAGGTCATAAGAAAGTAGGAAAAGCAGAAAAAGGATGGTGACATTAAGAGGAGTAAAGCAGGAATCACGGACCGGAATCAGGAGATGATGATTATGGGAGAAATGAGAAACAGCTCTCAGTGGTGATGAAAGGAAAAACTCGCTGGGGAATATCTGTCTGAGATGGTCCCTTGCCCCAGTGTAATGGTCCAAGAGAGTGAAAGTCTCTCTGATTTGTTCCTGTACTGAAAAACGTCATTTTGTCCAACATGAAATGTCTCTAGTAAGCATGCCCGCATGATTGCTATTGGTGGGCAAGTCAGGAGCGGAGGCACTGAGGCACCCAGCACAGTGTTGGGGGATGCATGCCAGTTCTGAAGTAGCTCTCCAGCTGAACGCATATGGAGCAGACTCCACAGATGCAGAGAGGGCATGCTGCGACTGTACTGCCAGATCCTTGCACAGCTATACATACAGCTGAACCTCACTATTTCAAATGACCCAGCTGCACAATACTCTGTCCGTGGAAGAATTCTTGTTTGAAATGTAAGCAAGTTAAAGTTGTTAGATTATGCTGTTTTAGCCGATACCTATTTCTGTTAAGTGGAAGGAAAAAAAAAATACAAAAGTGAATGGGAAGAATGTGTCCTTCCACTAGCCACCACTACACTGCAGCAATATACATTGCCATCAATTCAAATGTTAACACTGTTCTAAAGGATTAGGGTTACTGAGGTTCCACTGTGCATGATTTAACTTAATAGGGATACTCTATGCAGAGGCAAAGAGGTCCAAAATATGATGCTCCGCTAGATTAATTTATTATTTGCAGCTCAAGCTGCATTTTCTATATGACTATCATAAATTAACATCTGTCACACACACACACAAATACGTTTGTGTGTTTATGTGGGTGTTGCATTTTCAGATTAGTCATTTCAGGGAATTAATGTGCCATATGGAAAACTCAGCTTGAATAAACAAAAAAATTAATTCAATGGAGCGACCAAGAAAGACTATTAATCTTAACAAACCGTGTGTTCTTGTTTGCCCTTCAGCAGGGAACATGTCAAGTAAGCAAGCGGACAACACACTGGTGGAGGACTGTCCCAGCCTTTCAGAAACCCTCGGTCAGGGTGGTCAAGAGGATCAAAACCAGAGCTGCACCTCTTCTTGTCCGTGATGACTCCTAAAGTGATTATCAGTGTCACTGTTGTTAATATAGCCCTTGAGTGCCCTCGTTCACTAATGATCCAGTACAGCTTACAGGGGACAGGAGAGTTTCGAGGAGAGCCTTTCAAGATGCCTGCAGGCTTAGGGAGTTCAAGTCATCACTGCTTTTTCTCTATTCACTGTCATACGTTTTCTTCTTCTAGCAGAAGGAAGGCTAGAAATGCACTGCGTTCTGCTGACTCTTTCAGACCAGGCAGGAAATTTCCTGCTAAACACCCTTGCTCTAATTCTGCATAGGTCTCATGGCAACTGTTATTCAGCTACTCTGTTACGAGATTAAATAATTACTGAGGACAAAACACATCTTCAGGTTCCTGTATTTCTGGCAAACAACGTTTGCTATTGTTCGACTCTGCTGTTCTTTTTCAAGTTGAGAGATGCTAAAAATAAAAACCACTTCCTTCTACTAACAGTATCATGAAAGAGAAATGGCTAAGGGGGAAAAAAAAAAAGCTTTTGCTGAAAATACCTAACAGAATAAATTACTTACTCATTCAGTTCACCAGCTGACACTCCCAAAGCAGGCTTCCACCGTGTTTGAGGACTCACAACATCATCTTTATCCCAGAATCACTTCTTTCAGCTCTTCTCAGGTTCCTTCTTTTTCTGTCTTCCTCTCTCTTGCATCATTTTTACTTACCCTTCCCCATCACATGGGACTGGTCTACACTAAGAGTGATGAAGAGCCGTTTCCCAGCCTGACCCTCTTTGCTGAAATTTGAAGGTAACTTGCAACAGTCCCAATCAAATGGATCTCCCCTAGTTCACCTCATTTTAAAAACAACTTTTTTGTTGAATAAGGCAGAAGTAGTAGCTCAGGAACAATACTAAAGATGATCAAAACTACCTGAGATACAATAAATAAGATCAAACATAAACTCCATGTAGAACAAGTGACTCTTCAGATACATTTGTTCAACTGTGATAGCGTATTGCCCATCAGAAAATTCCTAGACCACTGAAGATGTGGAGAGCCTGCCTGTGGCTGGTGAAAGGACATGCTGCTGGGAGTTAAAGTCAGTGGCAGCAGATACAGTACCTAGGCTGCGATGTATGACTTCCCATGAACTTTGTTTTACTTCATCTTCAGGGCAGTCATCTGGAGGAGAGGCATATGAAGGAAGGCAGTGAACAAAATCCTACTGTTAGTCTAGAAGCAAGCCATCCTTTCAGGGGCAGCAATCAGTGAAGCTCCTGGAGCCGAAGCGGAGACCTTCCTGTATCTCTCGTGGCATTACAGTTCCAGATTTCCCATATTGCAGAATTATAGTGAAACCACAAGAGTTGTTGTATTGTGATATTTTACATGTTTTTAAAACCTGCTGTGACCTGCTTCCTGGCCAGTCGCTCCAAGATTTATCCTCATTCAGAATGCTGCTGCTTCCACTGCTTCTGTTAGGACTGAAGCTGCCAGATGGCCCCAGGTTAGATGACCACTGTTCCCCGACTGATTTTGCACATGGCAGCATGGCTACCCTAAGCAGTGTAGCTACTGTGTCTGATGCTTGTCACAGCCACTGACACCAGGCTGCTGTTAAGAAAGATTGCCAGATATTGCATTGTATGGTTTGAAAACTGTCTGAAAAACTTTAAAAGACGACAAAAACGCAAGGAGCAGGAGACAGATTTACAAAGGTGCCAGGGAAGGGCTAAGTTGGAGGGAAACCAAGACAAGACGGTGAGAAGGAAAGGAGGGAATATGTGGGGAAGGGAGACAAATGTACTGGGCAGGAAACCAAGTGAAGGGAGAAGGTGAAAGAGGAAGAACAGGATGGTCAAGAAAGGGACAGTGAGGGAAGGGCAGAAAAAAGGGAAAACAGTGACGAAGGAGACAGTGGAGGAGGGGAAAAAGCAAAGCTCCTTTCTAAGAGATAAGGGAAAATAAATGTAATCCTCTGCTTGAAGCAGCCAGCAGCAAAAGGAACATACTACTGGGTATGCATTTCAGCAAGAAATGTAAATTAGACTGGTAACAAATTACACAGAGGTGTCTTCCCCCCGGGCAGACATCGCAGAGAGAATAACTGATATTCTCGTAACTCTTGTGATTTTGGGGTCCTTGGACAGGCAGAGTTGGAAACATACTGACTATGGAAGAGCAATATCCCCTCCCGTGACAGGCTCTGGCTTTGCATTGTCTATCTAGCTGTATATATATGCAGAATTAATTTGGTTATTCTTTGGCTTCATTTTTCCCCTGAAATTCAGCAGGGTTTTGAAATCCCTCCACATAACACTCTTGTCTCTCCGCTTGCATGAAACACTCCTAATTGCTGAGTATACCTTCTGAATATAACCTTCACAAAAGATCCATTCAAAGAGGACAAGTGGATGCTACTGTTGTACGGAGCCGTGCCCGTCTACTTGGGGGTTCAGACTGAGATCATCCAACTCAGCATGCAAATGCTTTAAGGTGGGCACTTATGCATCCTGACAGAAGAGTTTGATGCAATGGCTATTTGATTATTATTTACATTCCATTAAAAAATACAGTAGTAAGCTTTTAAGGCTGGAAGGTCAAATTTTCAGAAGAGAGGAGATTCCCAGGCTCAGGCAGGATCACTCCTCTAGCCTTACATACCTATGCACCATGACAGATTTTAATCAGAAGATCACATGCAGTTTTTGCAAGGGATCCCCTTATCATTCAGTGCGCAGGGTTAGACATTACATGAAATCTTTCTAAAGAACTCTAACCTGTAAAGATCCATCATAGAAAACTAACTTAGTGGTTGCTACTTGGCAATCAAAAAGCTGAATGCAGAGCCTGCAGACCAGGAAACATCGGGCAGTGATGCCCTCTGCTGTGCTTCTGACTTTGTCTGGAATTTTCTAACTGTAATTACTGTCGAGTATAAGTACTTTTTTGTGTTGGGTTGGCAGAAATACGTAATGATGGCTTACAACACAGATTAGTTAAAGGGTCATGTAATTAGCCTCAGTGGCATAATAAAACGTAGCTGCATAGCAGCCATCACTCCTTCCATGCTGGCTGGCTGCTCGTTGAAGTAAATTCTAGGGAGACTATGGGACTGTTCGCGCACAGCACAGCATGAATTCTCTCTCCACATGCAAAGGCAACCCTCAGCCTCAGGGACCGAGCACCAGCATGCCTGAGGGCAAGATGCATGTGCTCGAGTGCATTTATGTTCCTGCCTCCTTGAGCGGATGGTCCAGCCCTTCAAGCCCCCTGTTTAACCAGGTCCCAGGGTTCCACATCATGCAGGGTCATGTATGTTTTACTGGCAAAGTGAGTAACAATCTCCAGTACTTCGTTGGGAAAGCCTTCATCAATCCACAGTAGCATTGCAGAGCTGGACATGGAGAGAAAAGGGGAGTGCCCTCCCACCCCCACTAACACCATGGGCCCCGCTGCCAGGAGAACATTTCCAATTCAATTGTTTTCCTTGTAGCAAAGCTGAGATTCTCATTCAGGACATTTAAAAGCCATAAATCAAAGCATCCACAGTAGAACTAAAAGTGGTCAAAATCAGGCTTTCCAAACAGGCAGGCAAATGCACATCATGGTAAGCTGAAGTGGCTCTAGTGCCTGCTGAAAGCCATCTTACCAAAGGGAGCGCACAGCTGCATTTTCTTTCAATAATACTACTGCAGCCTTTTAAGAGAGAGGGGGAATAATCTAAATTCTGGCAGCGGCGAATATTTCACAAATCATATATGCTTTGGCATCAAGCCCTTAAAGCCAGGGGCCTTTACTCACAGGCTTTGCTGGGAGAGATCCACCCACCTCAAGTGGGATTAATTAGAAGAGGCATGTATCATGCAAATAGTTTCTGTTTCCTTACAGAAATATTCAGAGCACATAACCCAAAACAGCTTTAGAATCAGAGCGAAGCAAGGAAGAAAATTATTTCCTGCTCCTCTAACCCTTTTCCTTTCCCTGTACAGTAAGCAAGGAACAGTAAGAAAATGCCAAGAGCTCACCATTTCTGTACAGTTCTTTTGATTAAACGCTAATAAAGTTGAGGAAAAAAAAGATTTCTTTAAAGGCAGGCGTTGTATCTCACTATAAGGTGCCCAGTTCTCCAAACCAAAAGTGCTCAGCTGCTCGTTGGAAAAGAATGGTCCGAGTTTTAGCCCTGAAAATGAGCTTTTTATCGTAAAGCAGAACAGGAGAAAGTAGAAAGCTTGTATTTCTTCAGCATGTCAGGATTTTCGGCTCCATGTGACAATGACGGGGGCTGCAACAAAAAGCTCCTTTGGAAAGCTAGATGAACTTTAAAAATACAGCTTTCTTCTCAGGAAGCCAAACTATTGCCCTAGATACGAGAGATCCTGACACTTCAAGGAATCATTGCAGAAAATGGTGGTAGAGCAGTGAGAGCACAGAGCACCAGTTCAAAAATAAGTCACAGGGCAAGCTCAAGTTTCCACAAGAACTCTTCCTTAGAACTATTTTTTTTCCCTTTTAATATCTCAGACCCATTTTCTGACTCAATTTCCTATGATCCTGCAAAGGCTGTTATTAAAACCAGACCAAGCGTAGCAGAAATTCCAGGGCTCAAAAGAAAGGTTTAATAGGCGCAGGAGCCGGCTACGCTGTCCCCCTCAGGTGATTTCCCCTGCAGCCCCTTCCCTGGGATTTCCGCTCTCGGAGTTTAGTCAGCAGGAGAAACCTGAAGTTTCAGCAAAACGGCAAACCCTTCCTTCATTCTTAAGCAGCCGAGTGTTATTTTATGTCTGAGGCTTTCATAGCTCTAAAAAAGACATCTAGGATCCAGTCCAGAAGATGTGTATTGCAGATATGTTTTCCACAAAAATGTCAGGCGGTCGTACGTTCAATTATATATCCAGCTACAGTGTTTTAAAAACACTGACCTCCTTTATCAGCCACTGCTTCGCATGCCACGAGTGGCAGTCACAAATTGATTTGTTCGCGGACTGCTTACCCGAGTGTCTTTTGTATGCTAGAAAATTCCTTTCTGGTCTCCATCCCACCTATCACTTTAGCATCAAAAAGATTATCATCAGACATGCGCTTGGCAAGCCACCTCAGGAAAGCCGTGTTCATGCAGTATTGCAGCCAGGCAGGACAAAGGAGACATGCTCGTTTGTGAGGCGAGGTGAGCAACGCCAGGGAGCTATGGTTCTCTCCAGCAGTACAACTGACAAAACACTGGCCCTCATTTCTCTATCTCCGATGTCATTTATCCCCTGATAGCACAGGGGCCAGTGCCCTTCAGCTCAGTCCCAGGCTCTACCGGCGAGGGGATGCTGCTCGGACTACTTCCCTTTCCGCACGAAGTTTCGTACCCAGAAAGGCAATTCTAGGCTTCTCCCCAGTGGTCCTGCTGCGAGCCACGGGAAATCCACCGAGATGAAGGAGTGCGTTTCATGGTTGGGCACTGATGCAACAACGCTCTTTTCACAGCAAATATATCAAAGGAATGAAGTATTTTTCTATACCTCATTTAATTACCCTTTATAATATGAAGAATAAATATGTTAGAAACTGAGCCTTGTATTTAAGTTACTGACAGCTACAACAGATCTCACCTATTTAAAAGAAAGTTTTTCTCCAAATATTCTCTTCTCAATTACCATTTCTGAAATTGAAAGTGTGCACATTTTCTCTTTGTTTCTATTTAACTGGCATTTTTTTGCAAACTGTGACTAATTTTAATGTAACAGTTAATTTATTAAAAATGGAGCAACCCCTTTGTTCCAACATTGCCTAATCTGCCCATGCCTCTCATAATTTAGGAGCTTACTAAAGCCCTGGGAATCAGAGGCTTTTATATATACATATGAGTGATTACGTGTATTTTATCATTGAGAAAATAAATACTAAGGACATTTTATTCGTATAACTTATATATAAAAAGCAGTTAATGTCACACAAAATTGTAAAATACACACAGCTACTTTTAAAAATACTGCTAAAGCCCTAGGAAGGAAAGGAAACGATGTGGTCATGAAAATGCTGTTCCTTAGCTAATTGTTTTGTACCATGTGACCTGCACTATTAGGCAACTATGGACTGTTTTCAACTGGCTGTAAACTACTCGCCTTGTGGAATAAAAATCAGACTCCTGTCAGTTTGTTCCACTGGTTCTATAAGGACTGTTCGTGTTCTCTCCCAGAAGAGCCATTACCTCCTCTGGTGAGGACTCAGAGTGGCAGAAGGGAGTTGTTGTATCCCTGCCCCTCTTCTGGTGGAGGGGTAGATGCCCTCTCTCTCTCTGTGAACCCCTGCGTGGGTACAACGCAACCAGAACGGGGGTTCATAATGTAAAATAACCTAGTATCTTCAAACTGACTGACTGGATTTTTTTTTTCATGAAAAAACTTCCTGTCTTTTCAAAAAGTCAAATTTGTGCTAAAAATTGGTTCCTCAAAACGCCTTTGACTCTCTGTAGGGAATGCCCAATTTTGTTTTGTTACAAGACTTACTCAACATCGGTGTTCGACTTTCCGACACAGTGCAGAATCTGTCTGTTATGCTAGAGGGAGAGAACCATGCCCACCACCAGAAAGATGAGACATCTTACCTTGGGACGCTGGGAGGAGCCCGGGTTGGCCGAGAGGGAACCTGGGGAGGTCCTCCAAGAGCTTCACCACCACTTGGAAATGGAGGCAGTGGTCCTGGGCGGAACGGGACCGGGGGAGCCCCTGACTGAGGGCCTGGGGATGGGATTGCCGGAGCGGGTCCTCGACCAGATAAAGGTCTGGTTGGGGGATTGTTTAACGTAGGCCTCCTCTGAGTTGAGGGACTTGGAGGAGGTGATCTAGTGAAATATCAGAGATTTAAGAAGTTCAGTACAGTGGGTTTTGGGGGTTGGTTCATTTTATTTTATTATTTTTAAACAGAAATTAAAACCTTTTTTTATGCCTATGACAGTTGTTTTTTCTTGGCATTCTCCTTTGCTGTGTCAGAGCATCACATATCTAAGTCTCACACTTACTTTCCCAAAGACAGCATGTCTTAATGATAGTCAAACATACAAGCAAAGAGGTAAATGTAATGGATTTTAATACTAGAGTTCTAAATGTTCTGTTAAGTGGATTTTCTAGGACGTGGAGCCTGAGATGCTGAATTATTAGAACAGCTTGCAAGAAGAGGTCTTGTGGGTGCACAGCAGCCGCTTCTGTCACCCCGACTATCTGAAGCACCAGTCAAACTATAAATTCACTGGATGGTCTTCTACAAGGCAAATATCCTGTCTGATGTTCACATACATATCTACAGAATATGTGTATGTGGGAAAACGTTCTGATTTCCCTCACAAATGTCCTGAAAGACCTGAAGGAGTAGCTGCCCACAGAGACAAGGTAGGGAGGGAGCTGCTGATGGTGACAGTCAGCCTGTCCTAAATTTCATTGCAAAACAGATAGAAGGATCCTTACCTGCGGGCCTGCTGGAGCCAAGAGTCGTCTACAGGAGGCGGTGCTGGGGTTGAGACAGTGCTAGTGCTGATATCGCCAATGATTGCTAGGGCTTCCTTCAGTGCTTGGTACATGCGGAGCATTTCATCTCGCCTCTGTGCCTGCTCAGCCGACTCCTCCATTAGAGTGTTTTGGTCCTCAGAAGAATACAAGTGAGCCAGGAGCTCTGCGTTGATAAATTCTTTTACCTATTTCATCAGACAAAAGAAACCCCACCAAACAAATAAACAAAAAAAAGCCCTACTGAAAATACAATACTGAAGAAATACAGTGTGAGATCCACAGAACCAGGAGACAGACATACCTAAATTTAATCTGGTTTTCCTACTACCTTATTCACATCCATTTTACCGGTCACGTAGTTTTTGTTAGGTCAGATCAGGGACTAAAAATTGCTGAACTCAGCTTGAGCTGATGGCGCGGCAGCCTGAAGTCTAGCTGTGGCCCAAGGAAAGGCTGGCACACACAGCTGGGCAAAGCAGCTGGAAAAGGATGGACTGGACCTTTTAGCAGCAGCCTGCACGCAGACAGGCCTAACACACTTACTAAGCCACATTCTGAGGTAACAATTCACATGTGAGGATAAGATGGTTTTGTGCAGTCGCTCCACAATGCACTGTGGCCTTTTTTTGTGTCTGTCTTTGAAACTTTGGACATGGTTGGAGTTAGCAGTGGTTGGTGTCTCTAAGGTGACACCTGTGTTTACAGTTCATTTCAAACAGGCTTCCCAGCAGCTCCCAGAGGCAGCTGGCATCTTGGTCTATTCTAAAGGGCTGAGAAGTAAATGGCAGCCGTTAGCAATACCATCAGATACTAAATTCCCCTGGGAATGGGATTTTTCAGGCTTTATAGCATCTCTGTCAATTATTTTCTTAGCAACAATTTACCGTACTGTAGACAGTATTTCATCTCCAGCAGCTTTGTCAGATTCTAAATAACCCATCCACACGTATTCAAACTGGAGGGAGAAGTCTCCAAGTAATCTAATTTACTATATTGTTTTCCTGTTATGCTTGCCCTGGTTATGGAAACCTGGGCCACATTAGGAGACAGAAAAAGCTAGAGGTACTCTGATGAAATAAGACTGTGGCAAATAGACCAACTGCTGACCTACAAAATCCCGGCATTTGAGACCTTCGTTGCTGCTCTGATCTATTTCTCGTCTGGCTCTTTGCTCTATAAAGCTTTTTCTGAGCTGGAGATAAGAGTGATAATACATTCCCAAGATTCTGATTACATAAACCTGAGCTCTGTTTGCACATGGTTTTGTGCTAGTTTAGCAACACTGCTTTAAATCCCAACAGTTAGACTAACGCAAAGTTTGTGTTCAGACGAGTTCAGTGAGAGCAGTCGAACCGCATGGGACCCTTTATGGTCACCTAGCAATGAAAAGGCGGCCAGGACAGACCTTACGGGGAAACAAAACCATATTGCCTGGGCTTGGCTGTCATTTCCCATTCACGTATGACAGGAGATGCACAAATTCTTAGCAACGCCTGAAAAAATTTTCCATGAGTCTCATGCTGTTTTCCAGTAGATGGTACTGATCAAGAGCCAGAGTACACTACTTTCCTCATGATTGCCAAAAACTCCACATTAAAAACAGATATCATAGTTAAACAGCATCGCATTCTAGTCGATGAAACAAGCAGTTTAATGGCATCAGTTCAAAATAAGAAGTCCTAAAATTAGATTAAGGCCAGAGCTGATTGTAAAAGCATTGTTAAACCACAAATATCTGTTTGAAAAAAATCAGCCTGTGACAATTATCACGAGAGATCCCTGTCTGCCACTAGCAGGAGACTCGAGGAACTCCCTGAACTCTTCTGGAAGGGGAGGACTGCTGCATTAGGGACGGCTCTTGGATCAGCATCCTTCCTTCTCCGATCAGATGCACTGTACAAGACAGAGGAAGATCTTCCACAATAGCCACTTTCTCCAGCTTGGAAAAGGAAGGGAAAGTGACACTTACTCACGGCTTTGCTCCTTTCTAGAAAACAGACTCACAGTTTAAAACATTTTCCTTCACAGATATCAGACCTGCAGTCAAAGTTGAACCATAGCAAGCACCTGAAACACCAATGCCACGAAGCCTGCCCTGTCACTCCCAAGCCGGGTAAGGTAGGCTTGCAGCTTCGTTCATCAGCGGGCAGACTAGAACATCCCTCACTGCCTCAGATGCAAATACGAGCCATTCCTTCACCTTAACTTTGGTAGTAACAAGTACTTTGGAGTTTTACTAGTCAGCTGAGATTAATATCAGCTCTGCTTAAGGAGTATACACTGTCTACTGTAAGACCACCCCTCTCATATAACCTGTGATACCTAGGCACCGTGAAACACAAGTTCTGAAATGTGTGTCTTGTTTGTGCATGTTTGAATTGCTAATGGTAACTCAATGCAGTTCTGTGTGGTACGTGTATTTTCTTTTAAGGTAATCAACATCCACCCTAAGGGGAGAATAAGGGATGCATTTGGAATACAGCAATCTAGGCTTAGGCCTCAAAATATGCGTAGGGACAGCATCTAATTATTTTCTGTACACTGAGTTTGAATACGATACTTCTCTTGAATTACAAGTCCTCATTTACAGGCCCACAAAGTGGAAAGGAAGTTCTAGGGGGACTTGGGAGGTCACAATTGTCATGGTAACAAACTCCTTGGGATCGATTTGTTTCCAGAGTTTTGGAGGCAACATGATGGGGCAGCAGAAAGTACAGAATTTGCTCGTTAAGAGGGAGGGAGGGTGTTTTCACTTAACTCTTGATGGATGGCTTGGAATTCTGAAGACTCCAAGGAACACACACACAGCTTAACAGGACCCACATTCCATCACAGCTCCACTGCTTTCCAGGTCTTTGCACAACCAAAAGCATGGCTCAGCAGTCTTAGTTCAAGCACTTCTTTCTCTAATAGTGCTGATTTTTAAAATTTTATATTTTAGCTATTGCTTTTAATATGCTATTTTACTGCCTATGCTGCACAGAAACAAGTGCATTAATTTTTTTAGTCTCACTGTGTTTTCATTCTTTGCGACACATTTAAATTCTAGGATTGAGGTGTAGGTCTTAGCTCACTAGCAAGCCCAGACACAGCTACAGACTGTGTGGTCAGCTGAAAGGTAGACGATGCTGTAAGTACGTTGTTTCTGTGTGCCATGGTCAGCCAGCATGACAGACTTTACCAGTATAACAGCTGATGAGATTGAAAGTACAAAATCTTAAAGTATTCTACTTCTGAGCAGAGCACCCACTTCAGAAACCCTTAAACTATTCCATATGAAGAGGTGAGCGGCAGAAAATTTAATGTCAACTTTCAAAAGGAAATGCTCACCGAACTCTGCAGTTCATGAAATGAGAGCTGAAAAACAGCCCTTTGAAAACGCACTGAAGTTGTGCTAAGTTGAAGGAGCGAGTTGCTAGCTGTGATCTGGGAAGAGCAGAGCGAACATGGTCACCCTACAAATTCAAGAGCGTGGCTGATTTCAGGAAAAAAAAGGGCAGTTCCATTGTTCCCATGCTCTTTTGTAAAAACTCGCCCATGACCAGAGCATCATTTGGAGCCTGACTCCCCTAAACCTAAAGAAGTCAATGGAATATCTCTCACCTCGTGCAAAAATTCTGCTCCTAGTATATGTACCAGGAAATCCCATTGAAATTTGCTGTCCAACCACCTCACTCTGAAGTGCAACACAAATTCCACAGGACTAATGAAATCCATCAGACTAAGGCTAGAGGTGGCTCTGAGTCAAAAGTAAATGCTACTTTCTAAACAGATTCGCATTATGGCATACTGTATTTTAAAAAAGGATTGGTTTGATGACCTGACAGAAAAGGTGCTACCCGTAACTAACAGGAGCTGTGCTCTCCATTATTACTTTAGATGTCAGCTTAGTTTTCAACAAAGTCTGTTCCGAACTCTGCCAGGAAGCGGAGGCTGAGATACTAGTGCAGTGGAAAAACAATGATATCTCAAAGCCATTTCTTTAACCAAATAATCTTCAGATCTAAGAAAGACACACATAATAAATCAAACAACCACATCTGCTTATCTAAACAGCAGTGTCCAAGGCTTCTTGATTTATTCATTGAAAACGGTAACCTGAAAATATAAAGAAACCCAAATAAAATAAGAACTGCTTTAAGAAGCCATGACAAAGGGCTACAGACTGAAAATCAAGGAAGCACAGCTCTGCTCTGTTGCTCTCCCAGACTGCCTAGGTGGAGGCTGCCACTCTCAACTCCCTTTGCCTGTTATATGAAAAGAAAGACAAAAAATAAATTCCTTGTTTTACCTTTAAACAATAACTTATATTCTGATTAAGACGCAAATGCATTCAGTCTTCAGCATTTTGGAGTAAGCACTCAAGGCAGCGTGCCAGCCTTTCAGAGGGCTGCAGGACTTCCTACTGCTACAGAAGACTGGAATATTTTGTTGAAGAGTGTGGCGTTTATGGTAGCGTGTTCTTCTCCTTAGCACATGCTGCTGTTGCTGCTGTATTCAAGAGGTGTGTTTGTATGAGTGCAACAGATTTGACAGAGACATTAAAAGAATTTAGAACCCTGGCTGTTACTTACATTATTGATCATAAGGTGCATGATTGTTTTGGGTATCAGATCTCGGATACATTTGTTGATAATAGACATGTAGGAGTCCACCAGATTTCGAATTGTCTCCACCTGTCTCTCCAGCTGAGGGTCCATTGAAAAATTGTCTGCTTGGCCATTCTCATCATTTTCAGTCTACAAAGAAGGAAAAAAAAAAGAAAAGTCCTTCAGAGAGCAGTAAACTGGAAATATATTGGGGAAAAACCCTGGACTTACACTGTAGTAATCCAGCAACGTAACTCATACAAAGAATGTCTGGAGGTTAAAACATGAAGTGCTGGCCTGTTTAACATTACTGTTTACACGAAATCTGGACTTACAGAGGTTAATGCAATATGAGGTGCAAGACCTTTTTCACAAAGTACATTGTCTATTTCCACGCAAATTTGTAATTTTGTATTAGAGTTTTCAGACAAAGATGTGTGGTGGTAAATGAACCCCCAAGAAATTCTCTCAGATCACTTACTGCAATACTTATAATAAAATCTTATACCGTTCAAATTCAGCCAGCCTGACCCATGCAAGGAAGCAGCACCGTAAGTCTGGATGCTGAATTTTACCCTCCTATGGGTAAAAACCATCCTTGTTATTTAAGACTGATTCAGTTATGACAAATTCCACACTTCCGCCTCAAACTTGTTAGATGTGAATAGCATCTATGTAAACAAAGGATTTATGAAGGGTAACAGCAAAAGCGTCATTGGTTCCAGCGCTCAAGGCTCTGCATAACATAGGCCGGATTATATATTAAAGGTCTCTTTTTCACTGGACAGGAAAAAAAATTTCTTCGTATGTAAACAGCTGACCTAATTAAAGAAAATACCAGGAACTTTAACTGGAAGCTATAAGGCATGTACTTTGCTTTGGTCTGGCCTGTATAAATATAAGAAAACCTAAGAAAAGAATAGTAGCCTTTTGGTGAAAATCAAGCTGTTTTCTGAGGCTCAAAGATGCCAAAAGAATGGAATTTCAGCCTGGAAAGTACAATGTTCTTACCCCAAACTCTAATACTTCTCCCTGAAAACGACCACCGAAGCCATACTACCATGAACTATAAAATCTAAATCTGTTCTGTTGGCACCTAGAAGCATAGCATGAAGCAACAGAAAGTACTTGCAAAAAGTGAATAACCCAGTAACGAGAACTAGTTATGTACCAGGCACAACTCCATTTACAATCCAACGTTTAGCTAAAATTTGCACATCCCTAGTGCTTTACAGATTCCCAGAGCAGTGGAGCTCAGTAGCTAACCCATTAGCGAAACACCATTAGAGCCAGATATGCAAACATGTCACCAAAGAGGCTTCTCCCTGCATGAAATACATTCTTGCTGGGCCAAAAAGAGATGCCTAGTTTCACCTCCTAACGCAGGGTCTGCTTCTGCTCGTGCAGCATTGGCAGGTATTCTTCTTCATAATTACTCTGTAAATTATGGCTTGGTCAGTCCAGTCTAAATCAAAAGGCGATGGTTGTGATTTGTTAAGTTACAGTTTTGTTAAGAAATAAGATCCAATGTACCATTTAGAAACAAAACTAAATGTTTGTAAAAGAAATCTCAAAAGTTCAGATTGGTTTTAATTACAGACGAATTACTGGAAAACCAGTTGAACTGTGGACTGTAAAAATAACTAGCAGTGCTTCCTAAAAATCTTGGGACTGTGGAGGACACTGAAAGAGCTCTTGATGAAAACAGTGTTTCCAGTTCTGTAACACCAGTAGACACACCACCCTATAAACCTTAACCGTTTCGTTAATAAACTGCACACAACAAAAAGTCACAGCATGCAGATTATTTTCCTTAGCCTCCATGTCTGAAGAGAAACTAACTGTCATTTTCCCCGTGAAATACCAAATAAATGGAAAAACATAGATCTATCATATCTACAGATTTTAGCCAAGTAACCGCAGATGAAAAATGCCCCTTTCCCAGTTCCCCTGCATTTCACTATTCCCTTTCTCTTCTTCTTTGCCGTCTAAAGTGCAGTTTGTCCATGTATGTTTTTTCCTTTTTTTTTTCCTTCACTGTTCAAATTACAGATTGCAATAAGATTCTTCGCTGGGTAAGCAGCAAAATGACAGATGTTTATCATTATCCTCATCGAGAGAATGCAATGTAAAAATAGTAATTTGTCTCTGATCTTTAAGCACAGGGCCATAGTCTGCAAACATTTAACCTTTTACATATAGGCTCATAGGTGATATTTACAGAAAGTGGATAATACTTCAGGAGTCCGTCTCTTTTTTGAAACTGTAATAGAGCTGACTTCATACTGTTGATTTATTTTCTCTGAAATCAAAAAAGATCAAGCTTTCACGAGTTTACAGTAACTTATTATGAAAGCCTCTGGCCATAGTATTCTTAATGATTTGATGTCTCAACTGAAGGTTTTTCCTGCCAGAAACCATCTTGTTTGCATCGCATCATGCACACGGAAGTCTGCTCCTAACAGATTTCTGTGCTCGCCAGTACACCTAGAAGCGCTGCCGGGCTTTCTTCTGTGAGCCGTCTCCGCATGGTGCCAACAGCAGCATCTGAGAGCGAGGTTTCCTGGAAAAGCTGGGCGTCACAACAGGACGGAAACGATGTAGACACCCTATTCCACCTCCATCTCATCCGTTCAAAACGGCTGGTTTTCTCACTGAGCATCCTGGTGACTCCGCTTCAGTACGAGCCACCAGTGAGCCCCAGTCCCTGCCCCTCTGCGTTCTAGAAAGGCTTTTGCAAGTCCGTTGCAAGGAATAAACAACCCAAACCAGAATACATAAGAAAACCCTCACAGCTCTCTTGAACGGAACGTTCACGCTGAACGGAAAAGCGGATCAAAGAGGCTGAAACAGGTTTCTGCGCCTTCTTTCCCAGCAGCTACAGTCCCATTTCAATGCTCCTCATCCTCAGGCCAGAACTTGCTATTTCCAACAGCAAGTGTTAAGTGACAGCATAGGAATCTGGGCTAAGTTTTCATTCAGCTGACTCTTGCTTAATACTGCTATTAATTGTTGACAGAAATATTGTTATTTCAAATGAACACAACTGCAATTACTTCAGGAACTTCTGTAAGCCTCCAACAAAGAAAGTACGGAAGAATCTAGAGTGTTAAAAACCAGGTAAAGAAAATTAGCTTCATCTTGCAAAACTCAAATTCAGACTATCTGATGAAAATAGACCAAAGCTACAGAGAAGCAACAGGTGAATGAAAACACGGACAAAGAGAACGTAACATGGAAGCCAGGATGGTCATTTCATTTATATACACATTGCCACAGAGAGGAAGTCCTTCCCTTCTGCTTTCTCTGCACTGTAAAAGAATGAAAATCATATCCATTCCTTGTGCTCTGCAGCAGGTCTCACCTGTCTTTCATAAGCTGCTTTGTGATCTTTGCATGGAAAGGTGCTGGTGAAACACAAAGTATGCATCACTGCCACTCTTCTACCTTTCCTGCATTTAGATACCTTCTGTACTAAGCATATTTTAAGGACTAACTAAAGTGTCATACAAGAGAAGACTAAAAACTGCATGTGAAATCCAAACCACTTGAGCTTGTGGGAATTTTACTGCTGGCTGCAGTGGGAATAGGATTTCACCCTACACATGCATTTTGACCAGAAAAGTTATCTGTCTTCTGAAGACTAAACTCTCCGCTGCAGGAGGAATGGTTTAGTGTGGTAGAAAGGGATGTAGGCATGAGGAATGATGTGCAATCCAAAAAAAACCAAAAAAGAATAGTGCCTCAGAATATCAGGAATCAGGATACTTTTCCTGATTGAGGGAGTTATAAGCATGTTGAAGAATGTCCCAAGAAAACTTCAGGAAAAGTGATTCCTTTTGAAAATCACAGCAAAACTGGTAACATACTGGAAAAAGTCCTGAGCTGGCCACACAGAGAGCGCAATACTTCTAATTTCCATGATTTCATTACATTCAGGGCAGCTGCCAGCACATTCAAGAATGTCTTGTATAACATTCCTGATGTCAGTTCCAAGGAGGAGCATTTGTCTAGCATTTTCATTAGAGCAGTGTATCAACCAATTTTCTGTAATCAAAAAGGCATTCTGTTAAATATGACTGAGAGGAAGCAGTTTGGAAGGTGACTGACTGCAGGGTAGCAGTCAAAGCAGCACCAAAGCAATGCTCTGGGTGCTAAGAAGCCAGTCCGTGGCTGCAGTGAGAAACCAAGCATTTAAAGGCTGTTTTTGTATCTTTCCTTTACAGATGGAAGTTCATAACAGCCACCACCTGAAAATGAATTATTCCCTCCAGATTGTATTTATATTTTAATTCACAGCTGCTGAATATGTAATCTATTTTATCTGTTCCTGGCCAAGTAAGGTTTTTCTTCCTTTTCCTAAATCTTTACAACTGGTTCTTGATAGTCTCTCTTCATTGCAGTTTGATGCTGTATATGTAATTTAGCTCATATACTCTCAGCTGTACATAGCGTGCCTTTTGCCAGAGAACTGCTGAAACCACACGATGGCTTCACACAGTGAGGTTTTCTTACTGGAAGGAACCAGAAGGAAATGACAATACATTACTTTTGTGTATTTACAACAAAGCAAGCAGCAGAAGAAGAACATTTCCCGGGTAGCTTGGAAGCCGTCCTTTTCCCTCACAGAGGGTGACTTTGCCACTCTCTTCCAAGCTTTCAGCATCTCCTGACTTTATACTGCTGTCGCCTTTACTCAGCCACCCACAGGCTGCCCCTTTCAGCTACTCTGCTTTCATTAGCAGCCTTGAACTGCTCTAAGCAGAGGTGATGACCTGGCTTTCCCTTGCATACACCATCTCCCTCCCTTCATACCCCCGCAGAAGAAGGATACAGTCTAGCTCAAGCTGATTCAAAAGTATTTAAACCTCTGGATGAGTTTAAACAATCACCTACTTAGATTCTTCTTTGTGGTTACAGACATTGTATAGTACAGACCTAAAACCTTCTGCTGAACCCACAGACTGCTCCCCACATATTTACATAACTTTAACAATCCCAAACATTCAAAATCTGTGTTAGGCTCTTTTCCTGCCTTCTTCAATCAAGAAGCCGATTTGGAACTATGACACGGAAAGGAATGATGTATTACCAGAACTCCAACACATTTGGAGTTACTTTTGTCTTCTGGTTCGTAACAGGTTGACAAC